ATATCGACTAAATGAACTTTGCTTTTTGTGGTTCAACAACAAAAAGAGAGAAGCTAATTGATCAATTAGATTTACCTTTATAACCTGGTGGACAAGGTTCAACTGCAATCCCATCAATGGCAGTTTCAGGCCAATCAATATCTTCATGTGTTTCCTTGGGACAAGTTTGGATAAACTCTGAGGGAAAGGAAAGAAAAGGCACAATAGGTCAATATTAATTATAATCATGATCCATTGTCTGAAGAGACATCAACTGATGAAATTTTGTTTTTCTTTCCTCATCATGTTTCTTTTGGTGGTCAACATTATTCAATATTCTTTGATGGAGAAGAAAAAAAATGGAAAATAATTTTTGCCTTCGTTTCTCGTCATTTCCTTATTACTTACCAGAAGATATGTTGCTTGGTATCACTGTTAGCATTGACTCTTTACCAACAGTTCCCAGTGGAGTTGTAACCAGGCAAGTGTAAACCGCTCTGGTCAAAGCTTTAGGCACAATTAGTCTGATCCCGGCTGGATACAGATCTTCAATCAACTCATCATCATAGAGAGGATTCAATATTTCACCATTTTTAAGCCAATTGTAGCCTATCAGTGGATCATAGTCGAGCGAGAAACAAGACACTGTGTAGGGTTGAGCCGAGTATACGGTTGCACTCAATGGATACACTTTAACTTGTGGCTTGGTAAACACTTTCAACTCGTAGCTACTGTTGACTCGTGAATGCCAATCAAAGGCTTCACAAGTGAAAATGCCTGAATCCAGTGGATAAAGTTTGTCCATTGTCAACGAGGCAACATATCGTCCAGGTAAATTGGAACGAACCAGGGTTGTTGACATTTTACGAAGAAAACTAGTTTCCGTGTCTATCAAGGTAAAGTCTTTGTACCATTTAACCTGAAGGCAGAAAAGTTGAGAAATGGAGAAGAAATGATAATATTAGTATGATAATAAAAGTGAAAATAAAACATTTTTTCAAAATTTAACAGAAAAATTTTGACTTTTTCTCGGCATTACCATAAACAGCATGATAATGTCATGACCTAATCAATTTCGATTTTCAGTTGAATAAAGTGTTGGCGAAAAAAATTTGAGCATAAGTAATCATCTTTTTCTTCTTGTTGCCATAAAATGTATTCATTTCATTGAATGTTACTCATTACATGAGAAAGGAAAAAACTGCAATAAAGAAATGCTCTTTGAATGAAAAAAATAATTTCTGTTTGAAATCGCTTTTTTTCGAAGGTGAAAAGGTTCTCATGGAAAAGACATCTTTTCAAATTACTGTTTATGGGATAAAATAATCTCTACTGATGTGACATTTTTTACTCTTGAAATGCTTTCCAATTTGTAATCATTGATTTCATCTGTTCATTTTTCTCATTCTCCTTGGAGAAATTGAAACTTTTACTTTTATCTATCATGCAACAAGAGATTTCTAGATGTTCATTACAATTACATCTCAATGAAAGATTAAATTGTTGATGGGAAAAGGAAGAAGATGAACTTCCAAATGATATTCCATCACAAGTAAGGTAAAAATGTTTTTGTTCAGTAAACATAGTTAATCATGATTCAAATTATTCATTGAACATTCTGTTGCCGTTAAGGATAAGGAAAATTTTCCAATCAATGTTTATCCAAGTGATAAAAAGAGAGAAAAAAGTTGATTCAAATTCGAGTTCTTGTTTCAGCAGAAAACTTGGATTGAAAGAAATCTATTTTTGAATTTAATTTTCATGATGCCAGTCTGGAGCCTTTCCAATGTTGTGGAAATACATTTATGATAAACTCAACAAATGCTAATCAACAAATTCATTGTTGGAGGATTCATCAGTCGAAACTGTTATTGATGTTATCCTTGATATGTTTTGACCCATTCCTTAGTCTGTAATCCAATGGGTTAAGAATGGTTTACCTCGGTTTTGTCTTGTGAGGTTCATTAGAGCAAAGCTGTGATTTGATTTATGATCAAATTTAAATTCAAGTTTATCCATTGGGTAAAGACGAGACTTATTTATACATGAAGAAGGTGGCAAAATGTGAATACAAAATGATCTTTATTCTGAACTGAATCCCTAACCCAAACCAATATGATTATCATTATTGAATGGAAAGGTGATAAATGATAATCAGGAAAAGAAAAGAAGAACTGATGTGAGAAGGAAAAAGGAAGAAAGAAAAATTGTTCTTACCTCAATTGAATTAGTTGATTGTATAAGGCAACTTAAGGTTAACTTAGCATCTTCTGTTGGTGTCACATCATCTTCAATTGCTAACTTTAAAATTTGAAAACCTTTTGGAAGGAAGAAAAGAAAATGAAAAGCATAAAGTAAGAAAATGAATTCATTGGAATTATCATTGAGCAAACCAACATCAATCAAAGTTCAAGTTTTTTCTATGATGAGAATTTAGAACATAATGAATTCCATTCAGTTTTATCAATATTTTAACTAATTCAGGTTATTTATGTAAATATTAAATAAATTAGCAAAATGAGAGCAGCAAGTTCGGTATTCATTTTGTGCTATTCAACATCAGTAGGATCGCTATTTAGGACATTTTAGATTGTTTATCAATCAAGTGTTTTTGCAGGACTGATTCGTCTACGTATCTACCGTGAGTCTATTACGCGTAACGGCAAAAAGTTTGTGTATGTGTGTTGTGACGAGCTATAAAATTTGTACGAGTGTGACGAGTATAGACGGATCTATTCATCGCTATTTGATGGCATAGACTGATCTCGTTCGTCATTCTCTCTGATCCAACAAGGATTCTTACAACTGAAAATAAGACGAACAATGGTGGCCTGCCTATTCTCCAATCTTGGAGCAAAGATACAAACGAACGTCGAACGTCCAAGGTCATTCAAGGTCAATGTAATTTGACCTCTAATTGACATTTTCTGAAGTGAAAATTTTCCAAGATCGGTTAGCGTTGGTTACAGGACCATAACTTTCACCATTGTAAATATGAGCGAATTTTTCTTGAACTAATCGACCAACTGAACGGTATGGCAACAATGATATCCTGTGGACGGCATATGTAATGAATATCTGATAGACATTAACCGATCTGAAATATTCGCACTCTTAGAAGATGACCTTCAAATGTCAACTAGAGGTTAAATTACGGATTAAACTTGAATGACCTTGAGCGTTCGAACTTGTGGTTCTAGTCAATTGGAACTGCTCTCCTGATCTGCTTCAAAGAGAAACATCTCTAATTGTAACAGAGTTTTGGTAACTGCTTAAACAATTTAGCTTGATGTAGTTTTTTAATGACAGAATTTCAAAAGGGCTCTCAATTACTATTCAATTCTGTTCAATACATCATCAAATTAACAATCAAAAAACCCGAAAATAATTCATAAGTAAATTTGCAAACTCAGCAGGTTTATGAACGATTTAAGATGATATTTCAATCATACAATATTTGCATATTCTCGACTTATAAGGTAAATCTGTTTGTAGAAGTCTAGCTTCGATTAGGACTATTTATTAAATATAATCCTTTAAAGTTAATGAGAGTTAATATTAATTGTTGACCATCTAAAGTTTTTTCAATTGTTAGAAGAAAAGGATAGTTAAGAAACATAAAAGAGATAGTCAATTAATGAATGATTACGAAGGTGAAAAGATCAATTAAAAGTGTTCTTCAATCTTAAAGTTTTAGTATATTTCTTAATGTACGTTGTTATATTAACGTATACATAAACCACCCAAAGACTCACATGTTATTTTGTAAATTTTGCAAGATTTCAATTCTTTCATATCGCTGTTTGTTAAAAGGTGACTTATCATTCTGGACAAAGGAACTACATGTTTCCATACGGTTCAATGTGGTCATTGGTTAGAGATTTTGAGTAGGTCAATTTGTAGCAATTCAGCTATATCTATTGATATAACAGCCACCAAGTTCCTATCAGTATGCATCAAATTGAATTTAAATATTTTTGTTACCTGGACGGAGTGATTAAGTTGCAAAGCCAGCTAGGAAAGTTAAATATTTGACTGGTTAGACTCAAATTTTTATTTTATCGTGAATTAATTTCCTCATTTGATTGGTTCATATAGTCAGAACATAACGATATTGGCAGAATGAAGAAAGCTACTTGTGAGTCTGCAAACTTCGAAGACGTCTATTTGCTTATCTTTATTATTCCACATATGACCAATTTATTGGGCCGAAATTTGCGAAATTTTTCTGATTCGATTATGTTGGTCGCATGTTCATAACCCCTACCATTGAAAAGATATAATAAATGAATTTACGCGAAATGCGATTGATTAACTGGATGATATGGAATCACTCATATCCTTCAGCTAGTATGAGTTATGAACATTTGACTAACATAATCGAATTAGCAAAATATTGCGATTCCAGAAAATAACCTTCCAATGTCAGTTAGAGGTCAAATAAAGAATTGGCCTTGTATAACCTTGAGCATTCCATCTAGTGTATCGAAATCTACATAATCTCATGGGTCAAGTCTGAGGTCTGTAGCACTAACGGTTCATGAGTTATGCCTGCATGAAGGCGTAAGATGGGAAGAACGCTCGGTAGACACAGGTATGCTGTATCGAGTGTATAAATTTTGTTGAGAAATAATGTTGGTTTAGCTTACTGTTGTTCTGCTTTGTCGCTTATTACAGTATACTGAAGTATAGTTTACTAAAGTATAGTAAAGGAACCAGTTTACCAATTTATGGCTATAGACAAACCCGTGAAATGCCTTTCGTTTTGATAGTTCTTCGAGCTATTTTAGTCAGAATGATTCTAGGTGGCAAAGATTGTGAATATAATCAGCGTGATACATGTAATTCAGCGGTGATTGCCGGCGATTTCAACGCTAACACTACGAGGACCTGTGCTATAGACAAGATCAAGAAAATGAACTTGAATCTTTTATTGATGATCATTTTTTGAATCATTTAGGTTCATAGGCACCTATGCCAAAGAAAATACGACCATATTATCACCGCAAAGAATATTACATTTTGTAATATTGTTGATTTTTGCAGATACACTCATGACCATGAACCTGTTATGAACAAACTAGAATCAACAAATGAATCAATAATTGATACTATTCCTGAATATTGTGATCAAAATCTTTTGTAGCTGAGTTAGTGGGTGTAATTTCTGATTACCGTGCTACGAACTCGTAAATACTGTATTTTCATCTTCATTTCATAATAAAATTCAATTTAATCTAAGTCCACGTTGTTTTACTTAATTTTTAAATCGTATCTTGGTATGAAATAAGAAATAACTCATTTATGAATTTCTAGCTTTATTTGACTACCAGCATATCTCTAGCATACTACACCAGTGGCATGCCAATTATCACACATCTATTAAAAGTATGGCACCCGTAGTGTTACCAACATTACTGCGCACTG